ATTTTTATTATTGGAACGCTGACTTATCTTTACTTTTCCCATACTCAGGCTGTTATGTCTGGCACTGAGCTTGTTGAGATGTACCGATATTACCAAGAGCAGCATCATCAAGCTTCCGCTAGCCAGAGCGCACTGTAAACGGCCTTAGACAATGTTGATAAAGGCTTTACACAAATTAAAAGAAGCCAAAGAGAGGGACGATTTTGAGATGTCGACTCTCAGGGATAAAGCTTCCAAGGTGGAGGGTCTCGAGTTGGAAGTTCGACAACTTAAGACCCAAAATGCTGAGAAGAACCAGGCCATTGAGTGTCTTCCTGCCCTTGAGAGAGATCTCAATGACACCAAGGTTTCCATCCACAACCTTGAAGACAAGGTTCAGAAGTTGGAAGCTGACAAGTCTGGAATCCGACAGAGAGTAGTTGGCCGCTATTTGGCATCTCAGGAATTTGTACAGGCTTCAAGACCGTTTTGATGGAGGATGGACTGCTGCCAAGAGATGCATTGCTCATGCCGCTTGTTGGAAGAAAGAGGACTGGGTTATAGTTGAAAAGGCTTTCAACGAGGAAGCTTACAAGATTCCTTCCGGGTTCGAGGAACAGAAGTTTGCGGATGAAGATCTTTTCAACCTCGTGCCGAACGCTGATGATGGCCCTTCAGATCCCTGTATCTTAAACTCTCCTGTTCCTGAAAACACACAAGCTTGAAGGCGCGGGCAGTCATCACCGACATCCTCTTGTGGGTCTTGCATAATTGGGCCTTATCAGCTATAATTTGAAATATGTAATCATCTGTTTTTGTTCAACTGTTTTTTTTTACAATGCTGTTTTATCGGCATATACCCTTTTTTGTGGTGATGCCTGTTGATTGTCATCTTTGATTATCGTGAACATGTCATATTTGTTCTTGAATTTTTAATTATCAGCTATTCCTGTTTTATCACGAATTTTATACTTGCTAAATTTTCGTAAAAAATTTATCTATATCGACGTCATACTTTTTGCAATTTTATCAACTGTTGCCTTTTCCAGCTTTAACTTTTCAATTATAACAAGGATAATATCAATTAGGATATATTACCCTTATCTCCGGCCCCCCTAGTGTTATATATTTGTTACACAATTATATGCACTAGGTCGAAATTTCTTTTGCTGACTCAAAGTACAATATCGGTCACCTACTGCACTACTTTCAGAGTCAGTTAGGCACCCTCTCGGCGATCATTATCAAAGCTATGCCTCTTGTCGGCATATACTTGAATTGATTCTACCGGAATTATATTTTGAACCAGCACCCTCGCGAGTGAATGATCACAACTGATCAGATTGTAAGTGCATTAACTTCACGGAAGCGGTTTTAAGCTGTCCGTCCTACTTAACGGTGATCTGTTAAATGGACGATGCTTTTTTTTCGACGACACAATTTCTGATAACTTTCTTATATTCATCACTGATATTTTTCTAACTAATGTCAGTTTCATTGCTTACAAAATGACATTACATTACTTACACATAATACTTTTTAAGTACTACCGTATCCCAAACATTTTTTAACGGCTTTCTATCCATTGTTTCCAAGTAAAAGGACCCTTGCATTACCATGTCTCTTATCCGGTATGGTCCTTCCCAATTTGCCGTCAACTTTTTATCTTCATTACCTTTCCCTGTTGCACTGTTCTTAGCAGTACCAGATCTCCTTTACACAAAGGCCGATAAGCAACCTGTTTGTTATATGCCCTTGTAGGCAGATGACTTAATTGCTGCTTTCTCCTGTACTTCAGGTAGGAAATCCAGTTGTTGTCGTAACAACAAATCATTTTGATCTTCACAGTAATGCTGAATTCTGAATGTCGGCAACCCTACTTCAGCCGGCACCACTGCTTCTGTTCCAAATACCAATGTGAAGGGTGACTCCCCTGTTGCTTCTCTAATCGTTGTTCTGTTTTCCCAAAGAATTTCCGGTATTAAATCAGCCCACAAACCCTTCGCATCTTCAATTTTCTTTTTAATTGCTGCTATGATTTGCTTGTTCGCTGCTTCTGCCTGGCCGTTTGATTGCGGATGGCACACTGCCGCATATATAAACTTTACTTTGTACATGGCCAAAAGATCTTTGACCGGCTTACAATCAAAATGAGATCCATGTTCAAAGACTATTGCCATCGGCAACCCAAATCTCGTGAAAATACTTTTTCAGATAAACTTTTTTACTTCCGACGATGTTATCTTCGCTACTGGCTCTGCCTCTATCCATTTTGTGAAGTAATCTACTCCCACTATGAGAAACTTTCTTCCTCCTTTTGCCGAAGGAAACGACCCTACTATATCCATCCCCCATTGTGCAAAAGGGACTGGATTTAGTATTGGCGTTAAATCATTTGGCGGCAAATTGATTGCGTGTGCAAACATCTGACACTTCTCACATTTTTTCACATATCTGACATCATCCTCGTTCATAGTCGGCCAGTAATATCCCTTTCTCATTGCTTCTCGTGACAGAGCTCTTGCACCGAGATGATTCTCGCAAGTGCCTTAATGTATTTCTTCAATTAACCTGGCAGATTCAAAATATGTTATGCATCTTTGCAACGACAATGAGAATCCTCTTTTATACAACTGAACTTGACACATAATGAACCACACATTGTCTTTCCACAATTTTTTGGATTCCCCCTTATCAAATGGCAATGCTCCATATAGGAGTACACCAATATCTTATCAAACAACTGTGTGCCGTTACCGACAGAAAGTACTTGTTCTGACTCTTCATCAATACTTTTCTGCTTCAAGATCTCTACCATGACTGTTCTTTCCAAGTCATTAAAGCTTGAACTGGCCAACCTTGCCAAGGCATCAGCTTGTGCATTCTATACTCTCGGTACCAGCCTGATTTCAAAATACTGCAATTGTGCTGTTAACTGCTTCATCTTTTCAAGGTACTTTATCATTGTTGGCTCTCGCGTTTCATATTCTCCGGTATACTGGCTGGATACTAACTAAGAATCGGTTGTTAGAACCAACCGTTTTGCTTCCACTGCTATTGACAACTAAACCTCGGCTATTGCTGCTTCATACTCAACTTTATTATTGGTGACCTTGAACTTAAACTTCATTGCATACTCAAAAACTTTCCCATCTAGATTCGTTATCACTATTCCTTCCCCTTACCTTGTTGATGTCGCGGAACCGTCCACCGATACCTACCAAGTTCCCAACTCTTCTTCTTCATCATTATATGAGGTTTCAACAATGAAATTGGACAAGGTCTGAGCCTTGATTGATGTTCTGGGCTTATAACGCAACTCATACTCCGAAAACTCCACTGCCCATGTTAACAATTGGCCTGATGTGTTCATCTTATGCAATGATTTTTCCAATGGATAATTCGTTAGAATATCTATAGGATGAGCATCAAAATACGGCCTCAACTTCCTTGCCGCCATCACCACTGCTAACACCATTTTTTCTATTACCGGATATCTGCGTTCAGCCACATTCAGAACATGGCTAACAAAGTATAATGGCAATTGTTGTTTCTTCCTTTCTACTAACAGCACTACTGAAGTTGTTTTTTGGGAAGCCGAGATGTAAAGTTGTAACAATTCTCCCCTCTCCGTTCTTGCAATCGTCGGAAGAGATATCAGATGGTTCGTCACCACCTCCAGCGCATCACTTTGTTCCTTACCCCCATTCAAATGTCTTATTCTTCCGTAAAATCATAAAAAACGAAAGGGCCTTATTAGCTGACTTGCTGATAAACCGAGTTAACCTTGCCATTCTTCCAGTCAACCTTTGTATATCTCGAATAGTTTTCGGCTGTTTCATCTCCAATAATGCATTTACCTTATTAGGATTTGCATCTATTCCCCGTTCACTGACCATGAAGCCTAAAAACTTCCTTGATCGAACTCCAAACACACACTTCTCTGGGTTTAATTTCATCTGATATCTTAGTAAAGTCTCAAATGTTTCCCTCAAATCCGCTATGTGATCCTCCTTCTCCTTACTCTTCACAATCGTATCATCCACATTTACCTCTACATTACACCCCTTTTGCTTTTAAAAGATCTTATCTACCAACTTCTGATATGTTGCTCTCGCATTTTTCAACCCAAACGACATTTCCTTATAACAATACACACCAGCATATGTTATAAAGGCCGTTTTTGCTCTACTTGCCTTATGAAGACTGACCTGATGATATCCTGAGAATGCATCCAAGAAACTGAGCATAGCATGGCCGGAAGTGGAGTCCACCAATCTATCTATACGAGGAAATGGATAGCAATCTTTTTGACAAGCTTTGTTCAAATCAGTGACGTCTACACACATTCGCCACTTTCCTGTCGGCTTTTTCACCATTACAACATTTGCCAACCATTCTAGATAAGTGCATGGTTCAATAAACCCTGCCGCTAAGAGCTTATTAACCTCAGCTTGTATGGATTCCACCTTCTCAGTTGAGAAATTGCGTTTCTTTTGCCTTATCGGTCTGAACTTTCTATCCACATTCAACTTAAGCTCCATCACTTCAGGATGTATTCCCGGCATCTCACTTGCCGAAAATGTGAAAACGTCCGCATTCTCACGAAACATACTTATCAAGTGGAATCTCATATCTACAGCCATATCTGCTCCAACCCTAACCATCCTACTTGAATCATCTGGTTGCAACTCAACTTGCACCGTTTCTCCACTTGGTGACGGCCTTGGGGTCTCCTTTGGCCTTGCATCAAAGTTTTTCATGGCCAAATCCTATACCGTTGGTTCCTTTTCTTTTATAGGATTATTCGGTATCGGACAATTCCCAACTGGATTTTTCAAAGCTTTTACATAATAAGACTTTGCCACTACCTGGCCTCCGTGGATCTTTTCAACAACTCCCATATTCGACACATAAGCTATCGTGAGATGATAAGTTGACACTACTGCCTGCACATCATGAATTATCGGTCTGCCGATAATTGCATTATAAGCCGATGGCACATCTACCACCAGGAATTCTTACATCACATCCCTTGATGTTGGCCCTTCACCTAGCCGCACTGGTAGAACTATGCTTCCTTCCGGTCTCACTGTTGATCCATTAAACCCAATGATCGGATAAGATACCGGCTTCAAATATTTTCTTCCAATCATCATTTCATCAAAGGCCTTCCTAAACAGAACATTTGTCGAGCTGCCCCCATAAACCAAAACTCTCTTAATGTCAGCTCCGTTTATCTTTGTTAGCAATACCAGCGGATCATCATGAGGGAAGACAATTCCCCTTGCATCCTCATCTATAAACACCACATCAGGGATTGAATCTGGCCGAGGACGGTTATCGACATCTAAGGCATACACTATATGACGGTGCTCAGATAGGTGCTTCTTTGCCCCACTGATTGTTCCTCCATGCACGGGCCCCCCCGTTATCACATTTACTCCCCTTCCAGTTGATAACGGTGGCATTCCTCCGTCCCCTTTTCAGACTATTCCAACCTGCGACCTCTCTGGCCTTGCTTCTAACTTTTGTCTTTCTATCTGCCGAGGTGGTGGTTGACTTCCCCCTGCATTCAACCGATACTGATTCAAGTGCCCTTTCCTTATCAGCTCTTCGATGTTATCTTTCAATTGTGTGCACTCCTTAGTATAGTGACCCACATCTCTATGGAACATACAATACTTCTTGACATCTCTCGGCCTCGCCTTCATCGTGATTGGCCTTGTCCATCCTTATCTGTTTTGATTCACCGAATAGATTGCTGCCCTAGGCGTATTCAGGGGCGTATATGTACTGTATCGCATTGGTGGTTTTGCAGCCCTAACCTCCTGCCGATTTCCCCCTCCCCTACCTAGGGTCGAAGTTCTCAGCCTTCCACTTCTTGAGGATGCACCTTCAAACTGATATTTTCCCTTTTCAGCAAACACATTCTTGTTACTTGTCTTCATTAATTCTTCACTCTTGATGTAATCATGAGCCTTGTTAAAAGTTGCTGCCAATGTCGGCAAATTCTTTCTTGTAAGATAACGCTTAAACTGAGAATCGTTCAAGCCGTTCATCAAAGGCATAACTGCTATCTCCTGTGGTAACTTTGGAATTATATTTGCCTCGTTGTTAAACCGTTTGATATAATCCCTCAAAGACTCATCTGGCTTTTGCTCCACCGCCATCAATTCCCCTGAAGTTTTCTACCGCACACTGTTACTAATATATTGCCCCATAAACATCTCAATCAACTTCTCAAAGCTATCTATCGTTCCATTTCCCAGGTCATTGAACCAATCTGCTGTAGCCCTAGTTAAAGTAGTTGGAAAAACCTTACACCAAACGGCATCCGAGTTAGTATACAACATCATATATCCCTCATAGGACGTTATGTATCTGCTGGGATCCCCTCTTCCATCATATCTACAAGTCGGCATTTTAATTTTCTCCATTGGTTGATCGAAGATACCTTGCGCAAACGGTGATGCTCTTAACTGCACCACAGTTCGCAGTGCTTGCCCTTCAACTTGGGATCTTCTCTGCTGCTGAGTTCTTGTGCTAACAGTGTGGCTCGAGGATTGACCCTCTGTCTGTCGCAGTGTTGTATGTGTTCTTACCGGCGTTTCTTCCCGGCGACGCCTTGGTGAATTTGTTGCTTGATTTAACTTTTCACCATGATTTATTAGCGGCGCCCCTCCTCCAACCTGAGCCGTTTTAGCCTCTTTCCTCTTTTTACTCATTGCAGTAATCACCCTAGCTGCTACCTCCAATTCTTCTAGTGTGAATTCAGCCATGGGGTCTACTACCGTCTCCGCCTGCCTTTCTAGGGTTAACAACATGTGGAATTGATTACCTTCTAGAGTATGAGTTTCATCCTCTATCTCAAATTCAGGTTGTGATGTTATTGGTTGATTTATTATCCTACTAATCACAGGTGTTTCATTATTTCCATCCATCAACGTTACTAATTTGTATGTGAGGTTCTTAGGCGATAGAAGTGATCACTGCCCCCTCCTTCTAGCGCCAAATTGTTTCTGTCTGGATCCGATTACCCGAGAACCCGAGCCTGAGATCTTGATACTTCTATCGGCAAACTAAGAACCTACACAATGAGCAAAAGTTTGCTAGCCCCAGGGATGATTCGGGGATAACCACTCCAATGATAAAGTTAGAATGTGTTTAAGAAAAAGAAGAGAAGTAAGAGAGAAAAAGTAGAGAGAGAGAGAGAGAGTAATAAATGCTAACCTCCTTAATGAAGCTTAACCTACTATTTATAATACTCTTCATGACAGGTTGCTACATGGCATGCAGGGCTTTTCTTGCCAAGTGTCAAGCTGTTGCTACCACGTGCCGAGTACCGACAAGCCGACATGTCTGCCTTTAAACATATCAACCTATTTGATAACATTGTTGAATCTATACCCGTATTTATAAAGATGTCGGCCCATTTTACATATCCTCATACAATTTGTTGAAAATTTTATTTTTGTTCTTCATTTTGGCATTAAGAAAGACCTTAGTGAGCTTTTAAGTTCCCATGGAAAATTAGAGGGTTATTTTTATTAAGGAAGATTAAGGCAGAGCATAGTTCCATTACAATGCTAGGCTTTTTTTTTTTTTTAACATAAACTGGAGATAATTATATTAATAGGCTAAAGCCTTAGGTTTAATTACATCAAGCACCATATAATTTGTACAATGAAAATTAATGCCTACCAAAAGAATGCCTAAACTATAGGCTAAAACTAGTACATCGCTGTACATATCCACCATAGAGATCTTAACATAACACTACCCCAAAAGTAAAGTCCATCCATATCCAAGCTAAACATAGGATTACATTGACATAGGAGTTGTGAAGTGTGAAGAAGCAGCATCAACTTCATTTGCAGCAGCGGTTACATGAACCAAGTCAGCTTCATAAACTGCATGAACACATTCGGAAACTAGGTAGTGAGTTTTGTATCCCACTGCCATTTCTTTGCCAAAAACAGCAAGCTTGTGTGCCAAAACATTCCTCTCACGTGGAACATGTGAAATAATTGCAACCTCGAAACGGCTAAGGAGTGCAGCTACATCACATACAGCAGCTGCCAGTTCATGATGGGGATTGGCACCTGTTGTAAGAAGCATGGTCCTCAAGGACTCAGCATCAGTTTCAACTTCAACCTTCTTTATCCTAAAATCATCCGCAATTGAGAGACCATCGTTCAAGGCATATAACTTTGCTGCAAGAGGGGAAACTGCTGAGTACTTACACAAAAATCTCACATACCAAGTCCCATCAGAACGCCTCAGAACACCTCCACCTGAAGAAACTGTAGAATTCATCCATGCTCCATCAGTATTGATTTTTATGTATCCTTCCTTTGGAGCTTCCTAGTTGGGCTAGTAGAGCATCCAAGCCTTCCCCTTGTTTTTCTTATCTTCCATCTGCAAAATAGAATAGTTAAACTGATAATCCAAATGAAATTTAGTGAACAAAGAGAAAGAATTAATAGGCTTATTCTCAAAGACCATATTATTTCTTTGTAACCAGATATGCCAAAGAGCTGTAACAAATATCAGTTTCCATTTTTTATCTAATCCCAAATTATAATTCAACCAATTTTTCCAATTTTCATTCTTGAATAAATAAAAATCAAAATTAGATGGTTGGTACACTTTGGCAAAAATATCATTCCATAAAATTGACGATGTAAAACAATCTCGAAAGAGATGAATATGTGTCTCACTATACAGATTACACCTTGAGCAAATAGGAGAGATTAAAAGCGTGTAAGAAGATATTGTTTCTGCCACAGGTAAAATAGAATGAGCACAGTTCCAAGCTAACATCTTATATTTAAAAGGTGCTTGTATTTTCCACAATGATTTCCGTGAATGTATATTTTTTGAAGGAGTACAAGAACCCTTTAATAAGAAATGATATGCTGATTTTATGGTGAAATATCCTGTGTTGCTAAGATCCCAAGCAATAAAATCCTCCAAGTCATGTATTTTAGAGAAAGGAGTAGCTTTAATCAATGGAACAATATAAGAGGGTAAAAGATGCTCAATGTCTTCCAAATACCAACATCCATTTCTGATTATATGAGCCACACTCCAATGTCCTTTTGAGTTAGGAACTTCAACATTCATAATAGTATACAAAGGAGCTTTACCCACCCAATGATGAAACCAAAGAGAATTTGTTTTCCCATTTCCAATACCTACCCTTAAACCCGAGGCCAATTACTCTCTTCCTTTCAAAATATCCTTCCATATTTGTGATTGAGAAGCATTTGCATTACAATAAAAAAGAGCACTATGCTTTAAATATTTTTCATTTAAAATTCTAACCCAAAGCTTTGTAAGGTTAGTTAACATAGTCCACCCTAACTTTGCCATAAAAGCAATATTCCATAATTTTAATCTTCTAATCCCAAGCCCTCCTATCTCCATAGGTTTAGTAACATGATTCCATCCTAGCCTAGTGGTATATTTAGTTCTGTCAACTTTATTCCATAAGAACTTTCTACAATGCCTTTCTATATCTTCACAGACTGAGAGAAGCAACATACTAGTCTGCATCAAATATACAAGAAAGGAAGATAAAACAGATTTAACAAGAGTGCATCTTCCTGCTAAATTAAGTAACTTAGATTGCCATCCCTTTATTCTATCAAAAGTTTTATCAAGAAGGTCAAAACAATCACTTTTTTTTTCGCTTATTTGGATTAATTTCCACACCAAGATATTTCCCAAAAGAAGTAGAAACAGAAAATTTAAATTCATGTGTTAAATCTTTTCTAATATTATAACACATCTTCTTTGGAAAAATCACTGATGACTTGGTTTGATTAACTCTTAGCCCTGAAACATTCCCAAAGTCATTTAGAACATTCATGATGATTTTTATATTGGACTTAGAAGCATGCCCAAACATAAAAACATCATCAGCATAGAAAATATGGGATAGATGATTAGAATTTGTTACCTTAATAGGTTTCCATAACCTTTGATTCACCTTTTCTTCGATCATTAAAGATAAGCGTTCAAGACAAAGAACAAAAATGTAAGATGACATTGGGTCACCCTGTCTTATACCCCTTGAAGGCCTAAATTCTGTAGTTATTTCCCCATTCCACAAAACTGAAATTTGAGGAGTAGTAATACAGTACATGATGAGCTTGACAAAATTAGTTGGGAAGTGAAAACCAATTAGTGTTTGAGTACATTAGCTTGAGTATAATAAAAATCATTTTAGCTTTTTAATATAATATCTAGGTTAATACTCATTAATATACTAAAGTTAAAATGCTAGGCTTAATGCTTTTTAATATGCTAGGCTTAATGCTAGGTTTCCTAGATGTTCGCGGACGACTTTTTCATCGTCACATTGTTAATGTGCCGCAATGCTCTTTATTTGGGAATGAGGTTGAGTCGATAATTATATTCATGCCACTTTTAATTGCACAACAGCATCAAAAATATGGGATAGCAGTAACTTTATGGAAATTGTAAGCCAATCTCTGTCATCCAGCTTTGGGGATAGACTTGAGTGGATTGCAACCAAAGACGAGTTCCTTGAAAAGTTAAAATCTCTTCTTTAATTTGGGTAGCATGGCACTGTAGAAATAAATTGACCTTTGGAGATGATCCTTTCGATCCAATAAGCATTTATATGGGTTATGTCAAGTTAGTCAATGATTATAATGTATATTCCCAAAAAATGTTTAGAGGTACTAGCTGCAACCCCTCCCCTTGCGTGAAGAATATTGGTGTGGCATAGGCTGTGGATGTGGCGGAAGTGGCAGCTTGCACGTTTGGGCTGATCTTGGCTAGGCATTTGGGATACTCGAAGGTTAAGCTGGAGACTTATGCTATTTGGTTGTCTCGGGCATTAAGACTAAAGCTACAGGATACGCTCCTTTCTTCAATTTGGTAGATGATATTGGTGATTTATCTTTGTTCTTTGATTTATTTAAGTGTTCTCATGTAAAGTGGGCGGGTAACACCCTAGCTCACTTAGTAGCTATGTGGGATTCTAAAGGGTGTGATGAGTATATTTGTATGGGTCCTTCGCCCAAAAGCATTACGACTTTAGCGGCCATTGATTTCATTTAGTCTTGTCTCGGTTTTACAAAAAAAAAAGCTAGGCTTAATTCTCTTTAATATACTCAAGCTGGACGAATCCTCTTTT